TACTTCCTCAAATAACCCTAAACATATTGACCTACTATACTGTAATCAAATGCATTCTAACTACGAACAACATAAAAGATTTCCCTAGAATAATGATATGGTTAATTACAGAGTAATGATAATGATAATTAATAGAGTAATGATATGGTTAATTACATATAATTACATTGCATAAATTATACATAAGAGAGAGAATAAGACTTTAGCTCCCTGATTCATTGTTTCTTTAGGGTTTGATTTCTAAAATGTGTTATTATATAAAATGGTGCTTCATGTTCAAAACAAGCCTTCACTGAAATATGAAATTTCTTTTCATTTTTACTGCATAGGATAATCAGACAATTGGCTAAACAGTAACAAGGAATATTTCTTGGGAGAACTTTGTGCTATTAGTGTCACATAAGTGTTATTCCAGTTGCAGACATTTCATAGACTAAAAGTAACTAATAGTATCTAATCGTACTTATAAGTTGATACCACCGCTGACTTTTTGGCAATCAATAATTTAAAGAGGTGACAGAAATTTAAAAATTCAGATGTTTGATGCAAACATGTTTAATCTGAGGTTTCCTCAATGAGCTAAGGGAGTCAAATTCGTTAATTTTAAAAAAAATGAAAAACATCCAAGAACTAAATAATCAGGATGTGTGACAAAACACAAGTGGAACAAAAATATAACAAAAATGTTTGACAATTATGTCAGATGATTTTCATATAACTTGTTTAAACATATATTTCTCATTAAACATTTAGTGAATATTTAGTTTGGGTAGACATATTTGTTTTTTTTGGGGTTTTTTTTTAAAGTGTCAATTTATGACTACTGGCCTGTAAATTTGAGTCTTATTAAAGAAAGACATGTCTTCAGGCAGGGTTCAAACCTACCTCCTCTTTATAGGAGAAACCACTGTCAGGCCCAGTGTGCTTTAGGCCGTTCAGCCACAGAAAGCTTTCACAGCCAAGCAAAGTTCAATTACTCTATTTAAGAAATGCACATCTTGCTGGGGATCCCTCAAAGCCACACACACACATATATATATATATATATATCTGTAAAAAGTCTGAATAAAGACAAAAAGAAAACTTTTCTTTACTGATGTATTTAATCTTCTGATGCAAATATAAGGATTTCATTTTGTAAAACCTAATGATATTTTTACTTCTGTTTATAAATACTTTGCAACATACAATCATTACATTTGCCTTGATAAAGTCTATCAGAGGAAGAAACATGGTGGTGAAAAAGTTCTACATTTGTCTTTATATGTGTGTGTGTGTGTGTGTGTTTATCCAATAATATTTATTACTATAAACATTATTTTAGTAGTTAAATGTAAAGATATCTGTTTATGTACAAATAATGAAATTAATTTCTACCAGCTTATATGATCAAAAGTCATATTTAAAGAAAATGTAGCTTTTGGTGGGAATCAAACTGTCATCTGCATTTTTCTGGGAAACCACTTTTTAGCATGAGGTGTGGCATTACCATTTTGGCCATGGGGGTGGAGTGGGTGTCTGGTTTGGGGTTCTTACAAAATTTTAAGAAAAATAAATGATTTCTTTTTTTTTTTCTTGCCAAAGAGAACCACTAAATTGTAAACGATATTTTACAATATCGAAATGTAACAGAAGTAAAAACATACTGCTATTCATTTAAGATATGTCATTTAATAAAACCTTTTTTTTTTTGCTCCACGTTATCTTGAAAGGTTACAGTTTTTATGCTACCATTAATAACTAGTTTGTACCAAATGAGCTATGAGGAAAATCCTTAGAAGATAATATTTGTACAAGCAAAGATACTAATAAGAAGCATTACTATGAAGACTTTGACCAGAGCTTACAACCAAAGCTATTTCATTGTTTGTTCTAAATCTTGTAGCAGAATTTGACAAGAATTTAAACACTTTGCATTCTTAAGAAAATTTCTGTTACTGGATCCTGATTCTAAACTGTAAGAAAAGCAATCAATCAAACTATATAATAATTATCAATGTGTATTTAATTATATATTTACTGTCTCATCTGTATTAGGAAGGGAAGTATATCTACTTAAGTTAGTAAATTTACAAGTGATTATTCCCTTAATCATCTTTACTCGAACTTAGACAAAATTAGTTCCCAGGTAAAATGAACCGTTTAATTAATCAGTTCCTTTATTCCTACATTTCTTAGATTGTAGTCTTATTTATTCAAGCTAGGCACCCAGATACCTTTGTCTATTAAGTCTTCCTCCAACCTGGTCTTGAAATAGGCTTTGTCGTTGCTGTCTTTGTCATTCTATTGTTAATCTTTTTCTTCCAAGAGATATTTCCACTTCAGTTATATTAAACACATAATTTTTTTAACATGTAAAGATACTGAGCAAAAAGCAGTTTATATAATATCAGGAATAATTAATGATTGATCGATATCATATAAAAGGAACAGATTGATTAAACATTTCAGTTTGTATTTCAGTTGTGAATTTTTTTTTTATATCTGATTTAATGAATCTCAATAGATTATTTCAAGATTTTTCTTTCATTGCATCATCTCACGATTAAAAGTTTCTAACAATTGCTGCCATTTTTGATGGCATGAGTAACACTAGTTTTATATAAACATGTTCTGGCTCAGGGATTTTTTCATTTTTAATATTTGGAAAAGAAAAAGAAAATGTTTGTCATTATAAGAACTTTGTAAAAAGACATGCTTCAGATAATTGAATATTTCCTTTCTACACTTGTAATGTTTTGGGTGATCCATTTTTCAGCCCTCTGGTCAGAGGAGTGGGCTAGGAAAAAAAAAAAAAAAAAAAAAGAGGAAAATAAACGCCTTTTTTCAAGGAAAAAAAAAAATCTCTTGGTGTACCCAGTACACAATACAGTTTTCTTTGCTTAGCAAAATGAGTGTTGGGGAACTCCACCCCCAGGGTATAATTTGGAATTGCCTGGGTACTTAGAGTTGCTGAAAATGGATTTCCTTCGTTGCCATTTTGTTTTTGTTTTTTGTTTTTTACTGGAAGAAAGGCTCAGGCTGAAGAATGAATCACTAATGGCTGGACAATTATTATTATTATTATTATTATTAACTGATTGTTCTACTCTAGTTACAAAAACAAATCAAGAAGCTGTTTCTGTTAGAAAGGCAGTACACAGATAGCTTAGAAAGATTAAAGATTAAAGAAAACTAATTTAAGTACGAAAGCAAAGTTAAACTTTAAAATATCTCAAACATTTTTTCTTTTTAGGAAACGTCAGACCCATTTTTTTTTTGCGTTTGTAGAAATAAAAAATATCATTTACAACAGATAGTTTCTTTGTAAGAAAAATTGCACAGAAATTTGCATAGTGTAAACATTTACAGTTCAGTTAAAAAAAAAAAAAAAAAAAATCATACCACTGGGGCAATTTTACAAGTACACTGGCAACTATAAGCAGAAGATCTGAACAACTTGTTATAGATATAGATCTTGTAATACAGATTAGCAGTTTATAAAAGAATGATTGGTTGAAGAGCTAGTGCCTTTGTCAGGTAGCATATCAGCTGACAGGAGTTTTTGTGACAACAGTTCACATATTTATAATATTCAGCCATTGTAGATTTTACAAGTAGACAATTATTTTAAAAAGTCAACTAATGAGATTAAGAAATTTCAATATTCATATCTATAAATAAATCAATATCATAGAAAATCATACTGCATAAGTTAGTTTACAATTTACATATGAAATGAGGTTAAAAAAATGTATCATATCAGAATAAAAACAATTTTCCGTTTAAACAATGTGCGATTCTTTACAATGTAGAGTTATGTCCCTTGTCATAAAAACAAAACCTGCCAGGAAATATTAGATTTTTTTTTTTTTTTCTTAGATTTTCATTGAAGCAATTTTAATGGTTGTATCAGGTGAATATAACAGAACCAGCCAGCTGCGTGCATGGAAACTGCACAAATATCATTTAAGGATTGCTTAAAGAAAACAACTGTCTTTATATCCAAAGTTACTTTTCTTTCTATTTAAGACTCATACTAAACATTAAATCAGAAAACATTTTACAATTATTTATGTTTAAAAAAAAAAAAAAAAAAAAAAAAAAAAAAAAAAAAAAAAAAAAAAAAAAAAAAAAAAGCCATAAATATGCAATAACAAGTCCACATGAATAAATTTTGCAAAAAGCTTGAATTTTTTTTTTTTTTTTAAATTTATACTTCAACTTGTATTCTTGATATACAGGGTGAGGCAAAAGTCATACACCATAGGTTAATTAATTAATCAGGTTTTAAATGTCTAAGGTCATCAGACCTCATATTCTTGGATTTTTTCCTGTGGGCCTATTTGAAATTAGTTGTTTATCAGACATGCCCAAGAAACATTGATGAACTTAAAAGAATTAAATGACAAAAATGTAAAATGACAGAGGAAACTCTGTGTTAATGAATCCTGCAGGCATAGAATTGAAACATGTTTTGAAAAAGAAGGAGGAGGACATTTTGAACAGCATGTATAACAATTAAATAACTAAAAAATAAAATTGTCATTTGTAATTATACTTTTAATAAATTAAGCCTATAGTTCACTGCTTTTGCCCTACCCTGTATATCTTGTATTTTCTGAAATCAACACTATGCTTTGTGATGTCAAAGAATTTAATTATTCTTGTCCTGAAAACTTAATTTCTTTCTAAAAGAGGAGAAAGATTACTGAAATTGATTCCATTCATTAAAGGTCCATTGTTTTAATGAACTAATATCTGCCCAATTGAAAATAGAAGGAATTTGTAGTGAGGCAAAACATAATTTTACGTAACGAGGCTTGAAAAGTAAATAAGGTAAGTAAAAACAGATCAACAGTTAAAATTTGAGAGAAAAAAAAATTTTCTGAAACATATGAAGTTGAATAAAATAAACAAATAAATAAATGGATGAAAAATATGTCAAACAATACATTTTGTTACACACAAAATTTAAAAATATGAAATCAGGTAAAAAAAAAAAAAAAATGAAAAATATATTAAATGTTGTCACACACATACATAAACATGAAAAAGAAAAAAGGAAAAAAGAAAAAGAGGAAAAAAAGGAGAAAAAAAAAAGAAAAAAAAAAGAGAAGAAAAAAAGAAAAAGAAAAAAGAAGAAAAAGGAACAAGAAAAAGAAAAGAGAAAGGAGAAAAAAAGAAAAAAGAAGAAAGAAAAAGAAAGAAAAAGAAAGAAAAAAGAAGAAAAAGAAAAAAGAAGAAAAAGAAAAAAGAAAAAGAAAGAAAAAAGAAAAAGAAAGAAAGAAAAGAAAGAAAGAAGAAAGAAAAAGAAAGAAAGAAGAAAGAAAAAGAAAGAAAGAAGAAAGAAAAAGAAAGAAAGAAGAAAGAAAAAGAAAGAAAGAGAAAGAAGAAAGAAAGAGAAAGAAGAAAGAAAGAGAAAGAAGAAAGAAAGAGAAAGAAGAAAGAAAGAGAAAGAAGAAAGAAAAGAAAGAAGAAAGAAAGAGAAAGAAGAAAGAAAAAGAAAGAAGAAAGAAAAAGAAAGAAGAAAGAAAAAGAAAGAAGAAAGAAAAGAAAGAAGAAAAAAAAGAAAGAAGAAAGAAAAAGAAAGAAGAAAAAGAAAGAAGAAAAAGAAAAGAAAGAAAGAAAAAAAAGAAAGAAAAAAGAAAAGAAAGAAGAAAAAAAAGAAAAAGAAAAGAAAAGAAGAAAGAAGAAAAGAAAAGAAGAAAAAAAAAAGAAAGAAGAAAGAAAAAGAAAAAAGAAAGAAAAAAGAAAAAGAAAGAAAAGAAAAAAGAAAAGAAAAAAAAAAAGAAAAAAGAAAAAGAAAAAAAAAAGAAAAGAAAAAAAGAAAAGAAAAGAAGAAAAAAGAAAAAGAAGAAAAGAAAAAGAAAAGAAAGAAAGAAGAAAAGAAGAAAGAAGAAAGAAAGAAAAAGAAAAAGAAAAAGAAAAAAAGAAAAGAAAGAAAGAAGAAAAAAGAAAAGAAAGAAAAAGAAGAAAAAGAAAAAGAAAGAAAAGAAGAAAAAGAAAAAGAAAAGAAAGAAAAAAGAAAAAGAAAAAAGAAAAAAAAAAAAAGAAAAAGAAAAAGAAAAAAGAAAAAGAAAGAAGAAAAAAGAAAAAAAAAGAAAGAAGAAAAAATGAAAAAGAAAAAAGGAAAAATAAAAATAAAAATAAAAAACCTCATTCAAACCACACATTTGAAAGACATGAACAAAGGGACAGAGAATTTCAAATCTCAAGAGTAAAAGCTGAAGATATTATCAGAATAAAATGAGAACATATCAGGAAGAATAACACGAACAGCAAAGTTTGTGGGCTTTTTAGGACCTGGAATCCTTTGATGAATATACAAAGTGTCAAGGTCATCATCATCATCATCAGCAGGAGGAGAGAAAGAAGAGAGTATTGCAGAGGGAGCACTCTCAGAGGTCAGAAATGCTGTCTTTGCTGCCAACTTGTTATGGCGGTCAAGGTGCATGCTAAATGCCTTTAAACCTTTTAATTTTGCCGGGCAGTTTGAGCAGCAGAAGGTCAAATGTTTAGTTAGTTTTGAGCTGGCCAAGATTTGGGGTGAAAGGCTCTGCTTGCTCTTGGGGCCAAGCAAAGTAGCAACAGGTTTCTCGTTTGGATTGGGGGCAGAAATCAAAGGTGGATCCATCACAGGTTCGTGCAATTGTTCAGATTGTGAGTGATTTTCCACATTTAAGAGCGGTTCATGGTGTAAAATGATCAAGCTGGCATTTGGAAATTGACAGTGGATTTGGATATGTTTCTCCATGCTTTCTCTGAAAAAAAAAAAAGAGAAAAAAAACAAAATAACAACTTGAGGAAAAATTTTAAATTATCATACAAAGAAAAAAGCCAGAAAGCAATGAAGAAGCAAAAAACAAATTGGCTTTGATGGTTGCCAGAAGAGATTATTACTTTTAATATGTTTATAACCCTTATCTTTTTACTAGTGTTCACTTACTACAAGGCTCAAGAGCCACTCAAGGTAGAGGGTTACTGAACAGTGTGTAATATGAATGTAAGAGCAGGAAGCAGAAAGTGAAGATTATTGGGACATGGAGATTGGCCCTTAACTTGAAGAGGTTAAGGATGTTGCATTTAGGGAAGTGCCCATGAGGGATTTTGTCTCACAAAGCAGGATTTCGTAGAAAACGCTGTTTAAGTTGAACTTTCTCCATACAAATATAATATGGAGAGTATGTGAAGTGCAAATCTCTGGATACAACATGGTAGATCATAGCTGCAAAAAAGTCTGAACTGGTGGAACTAAAGAATTGTGTACATCCAAACATCTGACATAGAAATAGTGATAGTGACAGGTAAGTGGGGGAGCAAAAGGGCATACAGTAAAAAAAAAAAAAAAAAAAGAATAGCTCATCCTTTACAATACCAGGTAAATGATTTTGAACTCTATCAAGGCTAGAAAGTGGGGATTGGTAAATTCCAGTCCAAATATGAAAGAAATACTACATTTCTGGTCTAACTTGACTCTTTTAAATATAAAGCATAACAGGAGTCAGATACATACTGGAGGCAGAGAATGAGCCAACCCCTTTTTTTGGTATCATTAGCAATGGGTTGTAGATGAGTTCTATTTAAGGTCTAAGATGAATATAAGTTTGAATAGTACACACACACATATATATATATATATATAATATAAATATAATATATATATAATATATATATATATATATATATAATATATATATATATATAATATATATATATATATATATATAATATAATATATATATATATATATATATATATATATATATATATATATATATATATATATATATATATATATATATATATATATATAATATATATATATATATATATATATATATACACACACACACAGTAGTGTACCCATGCCATCAAAATTGATGGCAAGAGGGTATGTATTATAAGTAATATGTATTATATTGTAAGTAATTTTTGTTTAATCCAAGTACAATTTTGTAATTTAAAATAGCTCATTGTTAACATTAATAATTGAAGTGTACAATTTATAAACACCACAAAAAAGATATGTGTATTTTATCCTCAATGTGTGTGTGCATAGCTTTTATATGCACACTTTTGTGACACACCTTGGATATTCTCAAGAATCGAATGTGCAGAGAAATTAGAACATCATCACTAGTGATAAATCAATCCAAGATGCCTCAAAGAAAAGTATTTTTATGTGAAGTTTAATTCAATCTGAAATAAAATATAAACCGTGGCCAATTTTGTACCTCATCTATTTATCTCCTCTCTCTATCACTTCCTATTTCCTCCTCACTTTCTTTCTTTGTATTGTTTTTTCATGGCTACATTTTATTACTCCTTTCACTTTGAACACAGTTCACACACAGAGAGAGGAGCGAGGAGGGGAAGAGGATTGCTTTGTAGTTTGTCAGTAGGGTAATTTTTTGTTTGTGGGCATGAATAGGGGTCATGACTTCTGTGCATCTCATGCCAAAATTTTTGCAATGTATATATATGTATGTGTGTGTGTGGCATATATGTATATATAAAACTGAAAAAAAAAAAAAAAGAAATTTGAAGCTACTAATGGCTACCTGCTCTTCTGGGAGTGGGATTTGACCTGCCCTAAGGTCATATCTTCCTCAACAGATGAGGTGAAGCTCTTTTCCTCAATCTTTGCCTTGAATTCAACATTTGATGACAAAGGCCATCCCCTTCCAAACTTCCCATGTCTTACATAGTACAATCTCAGTAATATTTTCATTACAGCACAGTAAGTTACAAGACTTATGAAAAGCTTTAACCCTAAGGAAACCACTGTCACAGACAAAATTCCAGTGGTTCTTAAGAATATCAATCCAGGATTATCCTTCTCAAGCTTGTGGGAAGTATCAGGTGCATGCCATTTTTAAGGATGCAGCCAAGCGCTCCTCCCCTTGTTAGTATAGACCCATCAGTCTCTTCACTATCATTAGTACACTTTTTGAGGCTATAATCAACAAGAAGGTTGTTGAATACCTAGATAAGAACAACCTCTTGAGCGACAACCAGTACAGGTTTTGATCAGCACGATCCACTGCTGATGTGATAACTATTACTCATAGAATTAGTGAGGCTCTTGACAACAAATACACCTCAAAGACCATAACATTAGATATTTTGAAGGCCTTTGACAAGATGTGGCATAAAGGTTTGCTGCTCAAGCTCTCCAGCTATGGCATTACTGGAAGGATGTTTTTAATTATAAAGTCCTTCCTAATGGGTAGTTCCTTGATGGTGAGTCCTCCTGGACCCTAGCAGGCATCTTCCAGAAATCACTTCCCAAACCAACTCTCTTTTTACTTTACATAAATGATTTGCCTCAGAATATACTCAGATGATGCTGATGATACAGAGGCACCTTCAAAACTCATGATGATCAGAGATTGGCAACTGATCTCTCATCTGATCTAGCTCTAACTGCTCAGTAAGGGTAAAAGTTACAGGTTACATTCAATGCCTCAAACAATCAAGCTAGTTGTATTCAATCATTGCTGATTGGACCCTGAACTACCATGAGTCAAGATGATTGGATATTCCCTGGTGGAGGGTTTGTGCCTTGATAGACTATTGGGCCATAAACTCACCCCTGACTTGAACACATACATACGATGCATTGCTAAAGTTGCAGGAAAAATGGTCAGTTCCCTATACCACTCCAGAAAGTACCTGACTTCTTGTACTATCCTTTAACTTTATAGTTCTAAAATAGAGTACTGTTGTCATATTTGGGGAGGAGCTGCCTTGTCCTCACATTCCAGTTTCAATAGAGTCTAAAGCATCTCCAAGTCCTTGTGGGTGACAAATAATTTTCCACCGTCCAACCTCTCTTTCACAGGCAAGATGGGGCAAGCCTCTTGTTTCTCTATTGCTACTTCCATGGGAAGTGCTTGGATGAATTGCATTCCTTAGTTCTACCAGTTCTAACCTTTACAGACAGGACCCACCATGCCATTCTCACTGTCACAAACCAACTACATTCTATCTGTATTCCATTGGTGAAAAGTTCGACTTGAACAGCTTCTTCCCATGAACCACTGTTCAGTGGAACTAACTCCCAAGTGGATGCTTCCCAAATACCTACAACCATTATCTTCTCCTGTCCACATATATTGCCTCTTACTCAGGCCTTGTACAGGGTAAACCTCACTGTAAAAAAAAAAAAAAAAAAAAAAAAACAGAGTTTTTCTCTCTCTCTTTATATATATATATATATATATATATATATATATATAAAAAAAAAATCCATGGGTAAGTAATCCAAGTAGAATCTATTAATATAAAATATTAAAACTGATCCACAAAAGAGACAATATAATTTTTATTATAGAGCATATAAGTGAATTACAATTAATGAGATCCAAACAATTTACCTCATACAGATGATCATTTCATCCATGGGAAAATTTTTTTTTGCACAGGTGTTGATAGGTTACATTTATGTCAGTGCCCATTTTCAACCATTGTGTTTATCTGTACCAACTCCACCACAACCACCTTAGGTCCCTTGCCCCTCTATATCTATATAACTCCCTCCTCTATTATAGGCCAATTCTTACTCCCTCTCCTTTTATTCTTTCTTTTTTCTTTCCTTTGCCTCTCAAATTTCCTGTGAAGAAACAGGGGAATTGATTCATTTTAGTAAATGTATTTGCATTGATAAGTCCAGGGAAAAACTATTTTCCCATGGTCGAAATGATCATCTGTATGAGGTAAATTGTTTGGACACACAAACACACAGTGCAATCGGTAAATTATTGCCATTTTATATATTTTATTTTGCACAAAAAGGAACGCCCTCTTGAATTTTTATACTTACCTCAGACAGGTTTTAAAGGAACAGATACTGCATTGGTAGACTTCTCCGTAATGGCTAGTCACATGTTCAAAAAACAAGTTCTGTTTGGGCAAAATTTGGCAACATATTGTGCACAGATACATCACAGCCTGGCTCTTCTGGCAGTATGTCCGCAAATACAACGTCCGATAATCAGTGATTACATTTATGTCCGTGAATGCCCATCCCTTCTTGCCATCAATATTTGTACATGGCTCTTGGAGCAATGGTGCCTGCACCACTGGTTCAGTGCTCGTTTCAACTTTAATGCTTGAAGCATAATCTTTTGGCAAGAGTGGGAATTCATTTGATGCAGGCAGACTTGTGACATGCTGCAACCTTTTATGGTTTTCTAATAGAGACTGAAACCAACTTCTAAAGCTGCATTCCTGACACTTGAATCGTTTCAGTTCCATATGGTCAAGCCGTATGTGGTCACTCACCCTAATGTGGCTGGAGGACGTCAACTGACAAAAAGGACACTTGAAGTGACCAGTTACATTTATACTCTGCCTGTAGGTGATCAGTCGCAAAACACTGATCTGTTGTGAATCAGTGCAGTATTGATGAGGCGCCTTGTTCTCATCATCTGTGTCAGCCCACCTCCAGGTAAACACACAATCTACATCGTCCTCTCCTTTCAACAGAGCCTGTTCAGCCTTTTCATCAAACCTACCCGAGACTGACTGTTGAAAGCTGTTGTCCTGATTCCTGTCACCGAGATTCTCAAACAAATCAAACAACGAAGCACGACTTTCCTTTTTTATTCCAGCAACTGTCTCCTCAAAATTAGCCATTGACATGGTTTTCTTTTTGGTCATGCCTTTCTTCCGGACACCTCGGTTCTGTAGCTTCTGGTTGGTACGAGGCTGAGCAGCATGGGGCACAATAATTTCCGGACGTCGGGTTTTTTTACGAAAAATCTGGAAAGTTTTGCATGGCTGCTCCAAGGGGTTGGTCATCTTCTTTGGGTGAACTTGCAATATGTGCAGACGAGCCTCTATCTCAGTTGTCATACTGATGAGGCAATAGTTACAGAGGTACATACCATCGTAGGTCTTAAATATAAACCGTTTATAAATATCCATCTCGGCTTTGCGAAAGGCTGGCATTGTCAAGTTATCACTAACTCTGGAGTCTTCTTTTTGCCTTGGGGAGTAGTTTTCCTGAGATAAAGGCACATCAGAAGGGTTATCACTTTTAGATTTAAAAGCAGCTTCTTTTTCCTGGTAAGATTTTTCAAAATAGGATGACATTCTGTAGGACCCTTCTTCTGTTTTCTCAACGGATTTGTAAATTCTTTCACTCTTTGAGTTTGGAGGTTCAGCCAAAGAAGGACTTTCCCACTCATAATCAGAATGCTGAGTAGATTGAATCTGTCTCTTCTTAGGCATTACAGGAGATTCGTTGTTCACACCAGAAGCTGGTCTTTTGCGGGTTGGGTCCTCAACAGAGACACCTGAGGGTATGTTTTTATTTAAAGACTTCTTTTTTCCCCATTTGGGGGAAGTATCAGCTGACCCAGTGTCATTTGCCTTGGCTAAGCTCTTTTTCTTGCTTGGTTCCTTCACACCCTTTGAGTAGGTTTTTGTCTTCTTCCGTTTGTGCGGCCTATAAGCTCGCTTAAGTTTGCGTTTAACTGGTGGCCCTTTCTGTGTACTTGATCCATCATTTCCACCTTTGGATGAACCCTGGGAGACCTTTTCACTCTCCTCTTTAGATTTTAATAAGATTCCGACATTATTTAATTCATCCGAGTGTTCACGCCACATGTGCTTTTTAACTTCTGTGGCTGACATGTTAACATAGTTGCAAAAGACACACCTGTACGGCGTCTTTGGGACTGTGATGGGTGTTATCTTCTTTTTGCATTTCGTTTTAGGTGCCCCAGATTTTGTATCAGCCTGGTCCGTAGGTGATTTCTTCAACACTGGCGAGGATGTGGCTGCTATTGTTGAAGGTGTAGAAGCTGGGGACCGGGCTGACATCTGGAGTGGTTTTGATGGGGTTAAAAGTTTTTGTGCAGTGGCTGCAGGTGACCTGGACTTTCCACTTTCCAACTCACTGCTAGGCAACTGCCCTTCTGCGTTGTGATGATAACGAATATGTCGCACCACCTGTTCAATGTGAATGCTGCACATTGTGCAGCTCCCACACTTAAACAGATTTCCAGGAAGCTTTTCAATTTTTACCATTTCAGTTGGTTCAGATTTTTCAACTTTGGGGGCTTCTTCAGGGGTTGTGGTACACGAGCTTGGTTGTGATTTAGTGCTTGCTGAGGACTCTGTTGTTGGAGCAGTGTTTTCAGCAGGCAAAGTATTTCGATCAGGCAAGTTACTATCATCTGATTTTGTTTTCTTTAAGCAGTCAGCAAGTTTCTTCTCCCAATCTGGTATTCCAAGCCATTTGGCATAAGGCTCTCGATTGGTATGATTCCGTGCACAATGTCGAATAACCTTGTGACGTTGCAAGTGCCTGTAGAAACAGTAAGCACATTCCCAGAAATGAATATTAAGATGTGACGAAAGCAAATGCCTGTGAATATAGCAAGCAAAATCAGCCATATAGTCACAGATATTACACACTTTTACTTGACCATTAGATGTATATAAAGATGATAATTTGGCATTTAGTATTGGACCTCCAAGCTTTGAATATTCGTCTTTGTCAATCAAGTTCTCGGATTTTTTGTTTATGATTATTGACTCCAACTTTGGTGGATTTGACAGAGGAGTCTCCGGGGATTTGATTTCGGGGTCAGCAGGTGACATTGGGGACAACGATTCCCTTGCTTCAGGCTCTCCTGGATTTTCTTTCGATGTCTCTTCATCCGTTTTTGGTGCTGACATTTCTTCAGCTGAAACAGTCTCCTCAACCCCTTCCTCAGTCTTTAGTCCAGTACGCAGGACTTTTGGCTTATGGAATTCATATTTTCTTCGGGTGTTTATGTGAACCACAAGATCCAAGTGACGTTTGATATGACCATAAAAGCCCATCACACTCCGTGATTGGTAAGAGCATCTTGGACACTGGATATACTCTGTGAAATGATCTCCAGCTGTGAATTTTACAATTTCCATTGCTAGATTTTTAGGGGGTGGGGCTTGGGGACTGCTGGTGTCCGCCTTTTTCTTAAGGTTTGCTTCCAATTCTGGTTTTACTGTCTGCTCAGGAGGCAGAGCACTTGGTTTAGGGCTAACATGAGGAGTTTCTTTTTCAACTGCTGACACCACGAGTTTACCAACATCAGTAATTTCAGCATTCGTTTCCTGAGAGATGACCTCAGTGACAGTCAAATGTTTCGAGTCATCGTTTGTTTGATTACGTCCCCAACTGCTGCATCTTTCGATTGTTTTTTTTGGTGAATCCCCAGCAGAAGTAGCAGGAACCACTTTAATAATTGGTGCAATTGATTGGACAAGTTTTTTGTTCGGATCTGGTGTTTTGTATTTCCTCGGAATAATCTCGGGTGGTTCGTTAATAAGTAAAATCCCCGATTTACGACCAAAGTGTGTTCGTTCAATGTGCTGCCTGACAATTTCTTCAGAGGAGGATTTCATGTGACAAGAGAGGCACTGGTGGAGTGGAAATGTCTGACTGTAAGAATCTCGATGACTGAGGAATATGTGGAACTTCATACGGTTCAGTTTATGGAACTTTTCTGAACAGTAGGGACAGTTAAACTTGAAATGCCCTTTGCCCTCATTTTCACCCGATTGTGAGGCTTCCAAATCCATTGCTTCTTTATCTTTTTTCAGCTTCAAAGCCAGGGTTTGTTTTTTAATACTTAAAAGTTTCTTCCTGATCAGTTCATTGCGAACTTCGGTCGGACGTTTCTTGTACGGCGCTCTTTTCATTCCATTCATAAGAGATGCCTTTACGTGACTATGGTTCAAAAATGCCTCCCTGGAACTTGTTGCAAAAGAACATTCTTTGCATTCAAAATTAACGTTTCTTTGTTTGGTGGCACTTTTCATGGATTCACAGACTTTAATGTGTGCCAAAAATACTTGGGCATTTGTTGTATTAAAAGTGCATTCGTTACATTGGTATCCTTGTCCGCTCTGACCAGGATCTAAGATGCCAACAACATTATCGTTGCCATTATGATTGGAATTGTTTAAAATATATTTTTGGTTATTCAAAAGACTTACCAATGTCTTATGAGATTCTGAGAATATTTTAGAGTCTTTCTCCCGAGAATGACTTGAGCTGCGACAGAGGAACATGCTCCCTGCAATAACCCTCTGCGATTCTCCTGGGTGTTCAACAGAGATGTGCTCTACAACCTCAGACTTATTCTTCTTCTTGAGATGGCAATGAGGACATTTGACCCAGGGCACAACAAAGTTTTCTCTGACATGGTCAACAAAAACAGAAAGACTATTCATGACACATTTGCACCAACGGCAAACATAGGACGGTAGTCCATCATGATTATTGGAGTAGTGAGATATAAATTCACGAATGACATTGGTGCTGAAATCGCAACCGGTAACTGAGCATTGGTGAAGGTAGACTTTTGTCTTTTTCACTTTATGTGTGTTCATGTGTTCTTGGAGAGAGGCAGAATCTGAAGTTACCATTCCGCAATGGGAACAAGAAAATGGCCCCTCTTCAATTTCCTGCTTCACTTTTGAAAGATCAAACGCTTCCGAATCGGTAGTCGGACCTTTCACATCTTGATTTTCATCGCAAGTCGAGAATTCTTCCCTTGTGTGTTGCATAGGATTTCGGCTTTCCAGATCTACTGGTTCTTCTTCGGGCTTCTGGTCCTGCCCAGTGTCCCACATTTCGGCACTCAGGGAAAAGGCATTTGTGATGGTAAGCTCTGGTTGCATTTCAATATTCGACTCAGCATCTCCTTCAGAACTGACTGTTGCAACACCTGAAGACTCACCAGGAGTGGGAGTCAGCACATCCGGCATACTAACAGATCCTTGTGACACGTATTTTGAAATACTACCAATTTCTCCAAGAGCTACCTTCATGACAGTTGACGATTCTGCAGCAGTGCTGTTTTGACAAGATTCATTACTGTCACATTCACTTGACACCTGGGAGCCGCTGCTAACTCTCTGCTTTAGCCGCTCGTGTAACTCGTTAGATACCTGTGATGAACTACTACTTGTCTTTTGTTGCCGGTCATAGGTATGCTGATAAGATACATCTGATTTCTCTACTTTATTAGACAGCTCACCCTGAGAGATATGGTAGCGGTCATAATGGTGACCGTTTGAAGTGGTCTGGGGATAGAAATGGGCAGTGGCATTTTGGTTGGGGCTACCACTTGAAGAATGTACACTGTCTCCTTTTTTGTTGGTAGCAGTTCGAAGATCTGATGGGGAGTCATTCGGACTATATTCTGAACTGTGTCCACTGTCACTCCATTTTCCATGAGGATATTCAGCAAAAGCCAATTTTTCTTTCTCGGAAGCGCCTTTATTAAACATTTTATACTTCTTCATGTTTCCAAATTAGAAAAAGGTTTTCTTTCCAAATTTAAATTTTCTTCTAAGGTGGAAAATACTGAAAGATTAGATGACAAATTTCTTTCTTTTGTATATATAAAAAAAAAAAAATAATAGGGAGAGGAAAAGAAAATGGTAAAATAATATTAAAAATAAACTTAAAGAATGGTATAAAAAATGTTTTAGCAGCACTATGTCTAAAGATTAAAGATTTCTTATATCTTGTTTGACAGTATCAGTTTTTTGGGGTTTTTTTTTTTAAATGTTTTTTTTCCACTCTTCCAACTTTGTTTTTTTCTATACTTCACTTTAAAAAAAAAAAAAAATTCAAAACTTCTTGAAATTTATATATAGTTTTCTTTTAAATGTAAAATGTATTTTAAATAAATTTTTAAAAACGATAAAAAAATACTAGTTTGAACAAATACTTAAGGGATATAACTCCTGATTTCAGGAAAAGAAAATAGCTGGAAGACTAACTTTTCTGATTAAAGTACATATATTTTTTTTAATTTCAAAAGTTATTTATTTTTTTTAAATCGATTTTGATTTTTTTTCACAGATAAGCAAGGAGAAATAATTCATGCTGGGCTTTAAGATTTTAACATGAATTTCAATTCCGTTATTGCTGTTATCACTTGCATATTTAAGGGGAGAGAAGGAGCACACAGAAAGAGAGATTGGTCATTTGCTGATGATATAGCTATGGGGTGATCGGCTGTTATCTCCCTTTCCTTGCAACTTATTCATGTCAGGATTTGGGTGACAATTGTGAGTAAGCTGTCTGACATAGGACTGAAGAAGTCTCCATCTTGCTTGGAAGAACCTGACACAAAAAAAAAAAAAAAAAAAAAAAAAAAAAATTGTTAATAAAATATTTTATTCTTATTTTTTCAATACAATGTTTATTAAAAATTAGTTACTAACAGCTCATGACACAGAATTCTTTTTACTAAAATGGCTAAAAATATGGAATATACTTATTAGTAATTAAAAAAAAAATTCTCAATAGGTATCTTATGACATAAAAGTCAGTGTTATGTTAGTTGGCTTATCTTCTGGCTTTGATTCAATAGTCCAAGAGAACGTTTAATTTGATATTTAAAAAAAAAAAAAAGAAAAGAAAAGAAAAGAAAAAATCATTTTGGGAAAACTAGGACCATCATGCCCACCAAATAAAATAAAAAATAAAAAAATAAATAAATAAAAATGGAGTGTCAAAAGGATGGTTTTTCCCTTGACACCACTATTATTTTCACTACTTTCACTCATTGGAAATATTTATTGCTATAAAAAGCAATGATTAATAAAACCTAAATATATGTGGAAAATGAATTTATACATTTGCTTTGGTTCTTTTGAGATGAATATATTTATGGAAGTTGACAGGTTGTGTATTTATGTGTATTTTAGATAAAGATATGTGTTCAATATATAAACAAAGATAGAAGCATACAAAACTTGAGTTTCTGCAATGGACATTTATTCCTTTTATGGTGATTGGAGTGAAACAAAGTCTCAATGTCTCATGGGTAAGTCTATTTCCTTTTTGATTGAGAAGTAAGGTAGGATAACAATGATTTAAATGGTCATGGTCAAGTCAGCTTTGTGCTGAATTGGAATGACCAATTTCCTTCCTGACTAGTGCTGTCAAAGCACATCTAAATGATGTTGTTGAAAAGAGTTATCTTACCCTTTCTGGAAATGTGGTCATAAAATTGGACGTGATCAGAAACCCTTTCTGGTTTCTTTATAACTTGTATCATGAGAAAATTAATTTCTGTTTATTTATTGGTTTAATTTCATTTTCCCCCAGATAACATGTGTTTACAGATTCTGTTAGTAAGTAAAGGAATGAAAAAAGGCATATCTTCCAATTCTGAGATTTGTAGATACAAGTCCACTCTTAAGGATTTAGATAAATGGCTTGATTTATCTTAACCCTGAAGAATGGACTTGTAGCTACAGATCTCAGAGTTGGAAGATATGCCTTTGAACTTCTCATTCATTTGCTTACTACTAAAGTTCTATTTCTTAATGCCGAACACTTTATTTACAAACTTTACTGTTACATAGCTTAGAACAAGGGTTGGCAACCTACAGCCCACTGGCTGGATCCAGTCTGCGAAGGCATTTTGAGTGACCCGTGAGCCTGATTACCAATGACTATTTTTAACATGAGAGATGAGGCTTTCGAATTCGACAAAAGGCCTGCTGTTATGTTCCTCTGATCCACCCAACCGAATTTGAATAATGCCTACATTTCATGTCAAATGATGGATACATATTTGTTATGACCCTTGGTTACATTAAAAAATAACAGAAGCGAAAGGAATGATAAAGTGAGAGAGGCCAGGGAGGGACTGACATGCGAGGTAGCAGAAATCTAAAGACAGTTAAACATACGCGCATTATACATACATGCCTCATGAATGTGTGGATCATACCGCATGTGTACGTACGTAAGTGTATATGTTTACAACTATTTGTACTCGTATGTATGGGTATATGTGCTTCGTTTTTGTTTGATGTGTGTGCGTGGTTCATTTGTGGAACAATTTTCAAACCATCATCCATCCATTTCACTTTGAAGTATTTTGACGTTCCTTGAGGAAAAGTAATTTTTGTTAGGTGTTTTTTAATTTTAGATTTTCTTGTTTTTCTGATTTCTCAATGTTTATTTTCATTATGGTTTTAAATATTTAGGTTGACAGGGGTCTGCATATGTAATTTTCCTTAATTTTTAACTAATGGCCTTTGTCCATCCCGCAACCCGTCATTATAACACGATCTGGTCCACGGGGTCGAATGAGTTGCCACCCCTGGCTTAGAAGCATTATCCTCTGGCAATAGGGATTCTCAGTTTCGATTTTAGTTTTGTTAAGAGGCACACACATATATATATATATATATATATATATATATATATATATATATATATATATATATTATATTTTTTTTTAAAAGACGATTCCATCACAACACAGAAGTTTCTAGGTTTCAAAACTGAAAATAAGATTTAAAGCACCATTCCTCCTAATAACTAATTGACTATACAGTATTTTTACAAATGTATTAGAATTTAATTTTGTATTTAAAATATTATTAATTAATGATCAAGTATAAATATGTAGGTTTCATCTCTCTTCTTTTTATTTTTTTTGCCAAAATTAATTATTATTTAAAGAAAATTGACAGTGCCTACAAAAAAAAAAAATAGCTATTTCATTTTGATTTAGTAATTTTTTTTATTTTTCAGAAACTTAATGTATAATTTTTCATGTATACACAAAGAATAGGAGTCATTTAATGACCTACAAGCTCTAGCTTTTCTTATTAATTTCCATTTTACTGTTGGTGTTTTATTGGTTTCTTTTAAGTGCCAGAAATATTTAGATAGGGACGTTTGATTTTGGTATTTAATATTATTAAATGACATTTCATGTTGGTTCAACCTTCTTTTGAATTCATTCTTTGTGCATCCAATGTAGAATTTAACCATGTCTGGATCTTCAATAGATGAGATATTGCATTGATAAACTATTGATTCAATACAACATTTATTATTAAGTGGGCAGAGGATTTCTACAGTTACATAATTTTTCTTTATCTTCATTTCTTTTTACTTTAGGATCTATATGTTTTTGATTTTGGTATAGGTGTTTATTCAAGATATTAGCATTATATTTCTTAATAATCATTTCAAGTTTTCAGTACAATTGTAACTTAATTTTAGGGTATTTTTATTAAAAATTGTACTGCGTTTACTCTCTCTAGGAAAATGTTTATCAATTAATGCAAAGAATTTTTATCCTAACTGATTTCTTACTATTTGCTTATATGGGGGTGTATACCAAATACTTTTTCTATTTTTATTTTTTCTATGGTGTCCATTTTCATTTTTTATATAAGTGAGTTTTGGGCATTTACAGCCACTATTCTTTAGAGCTTTATTATAGAAATTACTATGTTCATAAAATATTTTCTCATTTGCTGAATTTGTACTTATTCTTTTTTCGATAGATGAAGAATGATTAGACTTAGGGTGTATATACAAAGGATTAGTATTGGTCTTTTTGTAAGGTAGGTAATATTATTCATTAAATCTGGTATTATATCAAGGAAGTTAACTTTTTTTTTCAATATTTACAGTAATTTTCAAGCTTAGGCATTTAAATTCTCTGTGTAATAGTTTTCTAATTTTATCCATTTTAAAATTCATAGAATTCCTTACAACCATAAGGCCATCATCTCTGTACCATGCAATGTCATTTATAGTAATTTCACAATATGCAGTAAGATTATATAACATAAAAGATCAATAAGGTCAGAAGACTCTGCAGAGTCCAAGGATTCCATTGTGATGTCGAAGTGGTCATTAGAGTTGTTAATCCATTGCTCACCATTGTGAATAAGTACTAATTTTTTTCACATTCATAATTATGTTTTTCTCTACATAAGTCATGTCTGTGTATTGGTAGCAAGATCCATAGCATTCATGAAAAGTTCTTTTGATATTTATTGGTAGTAATTCTCAATATTAAACTGTATGTGTTTCTCTTTGATATTAATAAACCAATTAGTAACTTCTTTGGTAGTGATCCGAAGTTTTAATCCTAGGTAATCCTTTATTTGTTGGTTGACCCTTTTTAGGATTTTCTCACTAATTCTGACGACTCACGGATTAGCTTTGAAATCGGGTTGTCATCCTTTATGCTTATATAGTACTCTTTTTTGGTAAAAAATTAAAACAAAATAAAAAATAAAAATTTTTTTGGCAAAAAACAAATAAAAAAAAGAAGAGCAATGAAACATCTTTATACTTGATCATAAATTAATAATATAAAATTAAATTCTAATATATTTATTTGTAAAAATACCATATAGTCTATTAGTTATTAGAAGGAGGAATGGTACTTTAAATCTGTAGGAATAAAATTTAAATATTAAAAATATGACTTACTCATATTTAAATGACCCTTTTAGAAAATCTTTGTGTATAAAAAATATGAATTAAGTGGATAAATAAAAATGCCAAAATTTTTTTGTCATTGAACACCCAGATGACATGCTGAATAATGGATGTTTTTTTTTGCAAGCAGGCCACCGCACCTCATCTAGACTTAACCTTACTTTGTAAGTAACATATATTTGATACAGAAGTTGTCTTGGGAAAATACCCCTTACCCAATCAAAATAGATTGAATTTTTCTTAACCTTAACAACTCAAAATATTAAGATTACTCACTTTATAAGTGCAGCCAAATTTCTTAGAAAGTTATTCCTAGTATTGCTTGATAATGGAATGAAACTCTGGATTTTAAGCTTAATTTTTATAATTTACAATCTTAGTTTTGAAACAGAAATTTCTGTGTCATGATGGAATCATATTTTTAAAAAAGAAAATAATTATAATATTATGCTCTACAGTTTGTATTGAGCACTGTTTTTTCTTTAAAAATAGAAATAATTGCTAAGAACACCAGATTATAAATCTTACTGTTCTTTATTATTATTTTCATATATATATATATATATATATATATATATATATATATATATAAAATTTTAAAATATGTTTTCCTTATGACACAGAAATTACTGTTTCAGAACTAAAATTAAAATTGTGTTCCATTCTCAAGTGATGTTGGACAACTTCAGAAAAAAAAATTAAAACAAGTTTTTTTTAAATATAATATGCTCTACTTTGTATTGAGCACTTTTTAAAAATAAATGCTAAAGAACTGTGTACTATTAATCCATTTTTATTTTCACACACACACATATATATATATATATATATATATATATATATATATATATATA